GACCGGCTGCGATTGGAATGAAAATAGTAGTAGTAGTAGTAGTAGTAGTAGCAGTAGCAGTAGCAGTAGCAGTAGCAGTAGCAGTAGTAGTAGTAGTAGTAGTAGTAGTAGTAGTAGTAGTAGTAGTATGTGACAAATAGCAGTAGCAGTAGTAGTAGTAGTAATAGTAGTAGTAGTAGTAGTAGTAGTAGAAGTAGGGACCATCGACTTCGTTTGCCGCTCTGAATGCCGTGAAACATGTCAGCATCGAAGTGGTTTACTTGGACAGGTAGAGCGTGCTCATGTCAACAATCGCATTTTCACTCGGGTTTCTCAGCACATTCTGGAGGTCTGTCGAAGGCTGTCGACAAGGTAGCATGTTTCAGCAGTTGCAAAGGCTCTTTTTCCGGCATCTTCCCTTGATCTTTTTCTGAAGTTGGCAAAAACACAGAGTTTTTGCGGTTCAATTTCCTGCATTTCACGGCAGCAGCTGCAGCAGCAGCAGTCCCGTAGCGGCAAGACTTGTAGTAGGGGCAGCAGGAGTAGGCTCTAGCACCATCTCTCCTCCTCGACAATCGCTAAGTTGCTAACATCTCAGACAGTCTAAGGCCATGACCAGAGCGACAGACGCTCGGCAGTGCTTGCGACAGCGAATCGGCGAAGCAGCGCAGGCTTGCTAGAAGAGGTCTCGTGGACTCTTGTGATCACATGCTTCCATTTCACAAAAGCACTCTCTGCGATTTACACTACTCGCTGCCACTGGCTCTCGCAGACTTTCGTTACCATTACCCTGATCATTACTCGGCTTGGCAGAAGCGGAGAAGCCGTTGTCACGGTAGCTGCTCCTAAATGCTCCTAACGCTTTTGGCCTGACATCAAGCCCCCCAGCGACACGAACATTTTTCTGCAGGCAGATTCGGTACAAGTAGCTGCTTGCGTGCCCCAAACGTTCTCCTGGTCGCATGGCGAGCGCTGAGCTTCGCAAGAGCGTCGCAAGAGCTCCGCAAGCGGTGACGACATCGCTTCGTGGTCGACGCGCAGGCCGGAGCTCCGCGGGAGCTCCTGAGCTCCTCCTCCTCCGTCCACACTGCATCTTCTCTTAGGTTTCAGTCTTGGAGTCGTAGGTGATGAACTGCAACCACTCCTGCTGGGACCGACAGAAGCCCAGAGGTGAATTCGACGCTCTGAGGCCGGGACGTCTGCCAGGGTGAAGGGGCTTCCCCACAAGTCGAAATATCGTTCCGCACTGCTGTAGAGCCTCGTGACGGGATGTAATGAGGATGACCAGTGTCCACGATGAAGCTGATGATCGAAGTTCGCCATGAAGATTATCGTACGAGACTCGTACTCTGCTTGACGTGATGTGATTGTGGTGCCGGTGATGATGATGATGTATAAGGATACTACACCAGTCAAACAGCAACAGGAACCCCTCTTACTCGCGCGCGTCGCGTCCGGTTTGTCGGGGTGGTCGGCTGCACAGGGATAGATTGGCGTTGGCAGGTTGCGAGCTGGTAGGCAGTCGTGGATGGAGTACCACCGCGGTACGAGGAGCGGTCGAGATCTCTGCTCTCTGTTACCTTTCTAGACTCCTCCAAATCCGTCTCCGAAAGCGCAGGGCGGGCGCGCCGCGGGCACGCCTTCTCGCAGGGCGAGGGGCGAGGGCGCGACGCGCAGGCCCCCGCCGGGCCAAGGCTGCCAAAGCCTCTTTGTCGTTGGCTCGGCCATCGACACGAAGGCTGCTCTGCATGGTGCTGCTTGCTCAGACCGCCTCTACAGTTGACAAGGGCAACCACCCCGAGTATACCACGCTCCGGGTCTTCATGCACAGAGGCTGAACATCGTGAATGCTTTATGCACATCGCAAGTCTACCCCTGTAACTGAAGTAGCCGTGTGCCAGAAAGCGAAAACACGTGCGCTTCGGAAACTGAAAGCGATTCAGGAAACCCAATGCCAAAGCCCGATTGTCAAGCTTTGACGGAAACCGACCTTTCGAACTCGACACTCGGCAACACCCCCCCCCCCCCCAAAGATAATGTATGCACAGGAAAGTGGAGGGGAGAAGCGGCCGATTCGCTGCACACAGCATGAGTGTGAACTCTGAGTGTTGTTATACGCTCAGGCCAGTGCACCGTACACAGCACTTTCGAAGCGCCCTTTCGCCTGTTGCGCCATCGCAGCATGGCTTTGGCGGCGCCCCCGCTGTCATGCGGCGTGGCCGTTTTTGCCCCAAACCTGCGTAAACACGAACGTGGTCCAGCGCCTCCCCACTTTTGTGAGCTGCTCTCGCAGGGCCTCATCGTTCTTCCAAGAGCCAGTCCAAGCCCATGTTTCTGTCGTTTTCCGCTTGGAAGCCTCGGACACACTGCAGTTGACGGCGCGTCCTGCACCGGCCACACTCGGCACGCCCAAAGGGCAGACCCCGTGACTAGGGAAGTGAGCATTACGAGACGGCCCCCCCCCCCCCCCCCGCCCCAAGGAACTTTTCGCACAGAGCACTTTCTGGAGCGCGTGAAGTGCTTTGTGCCCCCTGCTTTGCATGTCAGCCGTGAGATGGCTGATGCGCCCCCACTCGAAGGAAAGACTGTCATGCTTTCTCCGGCCTCCCACTTTGACAGGTTTTCCCCCTTTTTGAGGAAGGGAGGTTCGCACGGAGCCCAGAATATCCGGGCCTTTCGGGCCCAGCCCAGTGCGTACTGCATGTGTGGTGGGGGGGGATGGCTGGTGCTGGTGTGGCTCGTGTGGCTGGTGGAGGCGTGGTCGGCTGGCAGCGCTATGTGACTGGTGTGCCTGGTGGCTGGTGTGGCGGTCGGAGACGTGGCTGGTGTGGGTGGCGTGTGGCTGGTGTGTGGCTCGTGTGTGTGGCTGGCGTGGTGGCTCGTGTGTGTGGGTGGCGTGGCTGGTGTGTGGCGTGTGGCTGGTGGGGGCGTGGCTGGT